TGGCTGTGGGTGTGGTCCCTCGTGTCCATCTTTTTGTTCCATAGATTGTCCTCTCGGTGTTGCATCTGAAACCTCCCTGCTAAAGCCAAGGTCAGCTAGATTTTATTTCTATAAAGATAATATCTACTGTGACCTCATAACCTGCATCCAATGGTGAAGGGGTGAAGTTTTAATCATGGCTTTGGGAAGAAACAAAGAGCCCTGATTTATACCATTAGCTGATTTCTGTGGCATAAATGCTCCCATGTGGCCAATTTCAAAGTACATCCCTCCTCCTTCTTTTTCTGTTTTTTTTTTTTTTGGGGCCATTTTCTTTTTCTGTTCTGTGTGGTCTGGTGTGTGCCCCCTCTCCTCTGCGGCTCTGTCTGATCACCACCGCCCCCGTCCCGGCTACCTGTTCCCTCTCCCCTGGTAGTCACCTTTCTGCTCTCAGGGTCGAGAGCTGTCCTTTCGCTTCGGTTAAGCTACGTCGTCCCCATCCCTGACTTGGGAGCTGGAAGGGGTCACCATTTCCCTCAGGAGTCCATGCAAGAGGAATCAGCGCTCAGCTCTCGGTGTCTGAGCACTGAGTAACCTGTGTCTTCCAAGTTCTCATCTGGTGTCTGCTGTTTCTCTTGGTGTTCGCTGCGGGCTTTCTGTTGTTGCTGTAATTATTGATTTACTTGCATCTTACAGTGAGCTGCCTGGTTTTTTTGAAAATTCTTAGTGCGACTCTTAAGAGACCCGGATGCAGGTGTGTCCCTTCAAAGACCATTTGCATTTGCTTCAGTCGAGCACCTGGGGGCGCCACCAGACTGGTGCCTGAGGTGCTTTGCACTACCAAGGTGCAGCCCATCTGGTCAGCAGCCCAGGGCCCTTTTCAGGGACTTTCCATCCTGCTCCCTCCCCTGCTCCAGGTGACTCCGAATTTCCTGACAGTCCTCATACTGGGCTGTGAGAGAGCTGAGTTCATTAAGCTCGGCCTTCCTCAGAGCCTCCATGCCTGTGTATTCATTTCCTCTGGCTGCTGGACCAAATAACCACAGACCTAGCTTCTTGTGATGCGCGTCCCTAATGGACGTGGCTTCTCACTTCTCGGCCCCTCTAGCCATTTCAGGTCTCTTCTGTGCAGGGCTGCCTGAAGAATCTGGACTTGGGGCTCCTCACTTTTCTCGCTCACTCGCATGGACACCGTCACACACTCCCTGGGCTGACCCCCACAACTGAGTGTGTCTACCCCCGGCTTCCTTGTGTGAGCTTTGGGCCACGTCGTGAACCCCTCGCCCCACGTTCAGCTCTTCCCAAACTGGCCCGGCACCGCCCATTTGCTCGTCTGCAGAGAGTCCCTAAGTCGTGGAAGGGCCACCAGTGGCCCTGGCCCAGACCCCAGTGCTGTGCGACTTCTCTCCCCCCTTCTTTCCAGCTAGTCAACTCCTGATTCTTTCCGACCTGTATCTCTCCTTGCCTGTACTCAGGCTCAGCCTCTGCATTCGGTCAGCTGCCATCACCTCCAACTGGTCCAACCCTGGTCTTGTCGCCCTGGTCTCGGCTGCATGTGCGGCCTGAGTGGCTCCATCCTCACCGCTGCCGCTCTCAATGGTGGAAAGATGCCAGTTCTGGGGTGTGACCCCCAGGGAGCTGTGCAAGTGCCTCTGTTCCCACTGCTCACTGCAGGATGACTCCTCTTTCTGACCCTGGAACCATTTAGACAGAGCTAAAGGGTTCAGTTTGCCCTGAAGCTCCCGGATGGAGTAACGCCAGTGGTGCTCACGTGTGGCCCTGTCTCTCTCCACACGCGGGACAGGGCTGATCGGCGGGGTGTGTGCTGGGCATGGTGGACACTGGCTGCTGCGGGCACCACTGCCGTGGCCACCCCGCGTGTATCGCGGAGCACACGTCGCAAGGGTGCTGGGTGCCGAGTGGAGGGGCTAGGTCAAAGCTTGGCTAGCCGACCTCCTCCAGAGGGCACGCGAGACCTCCCGCTGGCCCATTGGGCCTTGTGGAGACCTGGGGTTGCCAGACTTCAAAGGACTGTCAGTACTGAGAGTGGCGGAGCCTCTCACTGCGCTTGTGCACAGCTACCCGGCTGCAGGTGTGGCCGAGCTCCTCTCCCACTGTCAAACTTCAATTCTGATCACACTCCCAGCCACTGCCCCCTGGCCTGCTTCCCTGCCCACCCCCAAACCCCGCCTCCCCACCGCGGGCTGCAATCTGCCTGGGCAGCATAGTGGCGGGGCTGTTCTCCCAGCAGGCCAGATGCTCCCTGAAGGAGGCCACTGCTCTTCTCACTTGTTTCCAAACGAAAACAAGCTGGCATAGGTCGGGGTGCCAGTGGACGATGTGGGGAAGCACTGTGACCTTCCAGAACTTCTGGTTGAGCTTCAGTCCCATCTAGAAAATGAAGAAAACAAAAAAAGAAAAGGCAGCCACACTGTCTGATCTCTCACTTGCAACCTCACCCGCCACCTGAAGTTAGCAGGAAGTGAGGTGCGGTGGGCAGCAGAGTGGCCCCCAAAGATGTCCACGTTTGAACCCCCCAAACCTACGAATGTATTACCTTTCACAGCAAGGGGCATGCAGGCTGCAGACGGAGTGAGAGAGAGAGGCGCCCGTGCACCCCAGGGGCCCAGCAGCACCGCAGGGTCCATCGCATGCCCGGAGCAGGGGCGTCTGCCCGCGTCAGAGGCACTGCGCCACTGGCTTCAGACAGAGGAAGGGCCCATCAGGGGATGCAGATAGTCACTCAGCGCTGAGGAAGCAAGACAGGACTTCTCCTCTAGAGCTTCCAGAAGGAATTCAGCAATGTGACACCTCAACTTTAGGCCAGTGAGACCCATTTCCACCTGCTTGTCTCCAGACTTGCAAGAGAATAAAATGTGTAGTTAGAGAAGATACACCACTCTGCTTGTGGTGATTTCTTACAGCAAAGGCAGGAAACTAATACCTGAGGCAAATTCCATTCTGTACCATAAGTAATATTATGTGCACAAGTTAGAAGGGCTGTTTGAGTTGTAAGGAACCTTCCAGAATGTGCTGCCCATATCTGCCCTGAGCCTATGGACCTCGATGCCTCCTCCCTGACCCCCACCACCAGAGCATCTGGAGGGAGGAGGACCTCACCTCACACCTTTCAGCCACGAAGCAGTTCCAGAGCCCAGTGGAAGCTCGGCTGCTCCACACCCATCAGCACTTCTAAGATGGGCTGTGAAATGAAGCCCCAGATGGGAGGTAAGTGACTTTCTCCAATTTCTGTGGAACACAGTCCATTTCAGAGGCACATAACATTAACCACTGTAAATGGTTAAGCTGTGTTCTCCTAGCCATTAGAAAAACTCAATACATTAAGACCTAGCATCTAAACATTCGCTACCCCGCGTGGTTGAAATACATTATCACTCTACTATTAAAAGAAAAAGACTACAAACGGAATAATGCGTATAGGCCTCGGATGGAGTGAGGATCCTTTGTTTTGCTGATCTTTCATCTTCTAAATATGCTCAGTGGGAAGACTTTCTCTAATGTCAAGTAAGTCACGAATTACCAGTAGGTGTTGGTATCCAGCATTGTTCTTTCGCCGAGTCTGGGAGCCTTATCTTTTTTTTTTTTTTTTAAAGATTATTTATTTATGCACACAAGAACTGGGGTACAGGCCAAAAGTGCAGGGATAGTGAGAAGATTCCCCAGAGACAGAGCGGGGAGCAGAACAGGCCGACTGATGAAGTCCACTGCTGAGGGGAGCAGTGGGCGGGTCAGGAGGGATCTGCCGCGCCCTGGGGGGGGGGGTCACTCCCTGGCCAGGGATCGAATTTGTGCTGCAGGGGCTGCAGACAGCTTCGCAGTGTGGAGGCTTACTCCCGTGCACCACTAGGGAGGGCCTGAGTCTGCAAACCTTAAAAAAACAACTTGAGCCACGATCTGATTCAGCAAAGGTGCTTCCCTCACCCTCGTTGGGTGCACGCAGCCTGCGTCCCTCGGCCCCTCGGGACCCCGCCTTGGCTTTAGCGGCCACCAGCGGCTGCGCCTGTGCACCAGTCTCAGGGGCCATGCCCAGCAAGTCTCGCCAATTCCCACAGTTTAAAAGTGTTCCCTCTCATAGTCCTGCCTCTGCTTCCTGCTCCCACAAAGGCTGTCTGAACGGAGCGGGCAGCTGATGCGGCTTAACTCAGCTGCTTTAGGGTATGCCCACCCCAAGAAGCAGGAGAAACTCGGTTGCATTATGAAAAATAGATCAGAAAGCACTATGACTGTATTTGGAAAAAGACTTATATTATCAAAAACATAGATGATTCCAAACTGTTCGAAGGGCTGGCCCAGAAAGAGCGACGGGTCTGTGTGACTGCAGAAGGCCGTCTGCAGGCGGGTCCGTGGGCCAAGAGCACGCAGCTTATCCGCCCCGGTGAGGGGGGCGCCGGGCGAGTGGGTGGCCCTATGGAGCAACAACATGCTCCTCAGGGACAGCCAGGGATGAGGGGACAATGGAACCCTGCCGCCCCCGGGCTTGAAGTGAGGGCAAACACTGCCATGTCTAAGCACTCTGCAGCCACTTCAGATACTCATCGTTTTGGAAAGACGTCGTTTGAGTCCCACCTGATTATGTAAGAAGCGGTTCGTTTTAGTTAATTGCTACCACTGTCTCACATTGTCAGGCTGCAGAGTTACAGAATGCCACTCCCAAGTGGTGGTATTTGACAAACTCACGTCTCACCTAGACACTCGGGGTGCACGCCCGCCCTGTCATCTGCCCCTCCATCAACCAGCCCCACGGCTCACTCCTCGTCCACTGCTGCGCCTCCAGGCAGGGCTGAGGCTGGGTCTGCAGCCTGCACTTTCACAAACCCTCCTGAGTAAGCACAGTCGGGACTGGGAAAATCGGCCCTGCGCGTCGCCGCATATCATCATTGGCACTTTTGGACAGCACCAGGCGCTGGGGGGAGAAGGGGCGTGAGGCCGACCCAGGGACAGCAGGTAGCGTCACGCACGTGACAGACACAGAAGTCACACCCCGGAAGAGAGCACGGTGTTTAGCTCATGTATTTATTACAGCAGCTCTTTAGTCACTACTCCAGGGAAACGTTTTCATAGCATTTCACAAAATCCCTTGAACTATTAGTATTCGTCTTTTCTTTTATGGAGTGACACTGTTAATTTACGAAATATTTACAGCGTTTACAAAAAGCAAGAGAAGAGCTAATAAAACTTCTTATACATACAAAATTCATACATTATACTACTAGATTTGAGATGTCTTATTTGGTAGGTCATGTAGGCTACGACATAAAATAATTTACAAAGATATATTTAATCTCTCTTAATTCATTGAAAACATAACCCTGTTAGCTATAAATAGTTCTTTACAAATCACTGTAAAATGTGTTTTTAACTCTAGCCTTAGCTTTTACAAATAGACTTACTAAATGAGTTAGTTCAGATATCAAAGAGAACTGTGCATTTGGAATTTTATTGACCACTGCTACAAAAAACACATGAAAAAGCAAACTGTCAGGTACTTCAAGTAAAAATTTAGAGACCCAGTTTGAAGCACATCTGGAAGGGGCGCCTGACTCTGTCAAACGGAAACGCAGACACCGCACCCGCGAGGACACGCTCTCAACCCGACACGTAGGCTTGTCCCCAGGGCTGAGGCTGGAGCTGTGTGCCGCAGCCCTCTGCACAGAGAAGCTGCTTCGACCAGAGCGCGTTGGGGGCGTCTCCTGCGCCGAGAATGTCACCTGGCGCGCTTGACACAGGCCGGCGCTGGACGGGGGCCGACCGCCATCGTCGCTGTGGTGGCGGGGGGACACTTAGAAAATGCAACTGGCAAAGGAAGAGAAAGCCAAATCCTAGTTAACTGGGCCCCATCTGCTTTTTTTTAAATATAAAAATAAGCTTCTCTTGAAAATAAGGGACAGCACTTCATAATCCAACTTCTCACAACGGAAAGCTCATCTGCACAGCCATTTCTCTTTAAGTCGCTTATTTTAGACTTAAGATAGTGACAAGCTTGGCAACTGCTCCGACACCTCGCCTGGGAGAACGCCCGAGAAGCGAAGCGCGGTCTGGCGTTGGCAGTCAGCAGGTCTTTCACATCAGGCGTCACTCTCCGTCCGTGCAAAGCAGCTATCAGGAGCGGCTTGAGGAAAATCCATTTCACAAACAGATTTTGCCCAGTTCGCTTAAAATAACGTCGCGCCAATTCAGCCCACAAACCACACACTGCATACCTCATATTTCCATATTTCTAAGGAGGTAAATGAAATTTAAACTTTTGTCTTTCAAAAACTGCGTTTGAACGTGGCAGGATTTTCTAAAATCCCATCTTGGCTCCTGTCTTATGACTGCCGTGCAGACACAGCCGTTTTCTCGTAATATGTATTCTAGAAGGCACATATTCAAGAGTGTAAGAGCATGTTAGTTCAAGTTCTACGTGGAGGCCAGTCAGGTCATCTATGCTGTGCCTCACTAGACACCCAGCTCCTCGCCGGGCCAGGCCCCTCTCAGAAGTGGGTCTGCACATGGGGCATCATTTGGGAAGGGCTGGAAGGCGACGTGGGGGGCTCGGGGAGCCTGGCGGAGTTGGCCAGCTGCAGTTCCTCCAGCCGCCTCAGGTACTCGTCTCGCAGGGCCAGGAGCTCCACATAGCGCTGCTCCACAGGGTTGGGCTGCTGGGGGAAGCACAAAGGCGTTACTGAGGCCTCCGCCCCTCCTGCCCCTCACCTGCCCAGCGCACACTGCCTCTCCTAGGCCGCACTGTGTAAAAGCACATGCGCGTGGAGGAGGCTGCATCCAGCTCACTGTCTCTGTGAGGCAGGTCGAGATCACAGCGCCGTGCCCTGGCCCCATCTTTTCAAAAGGTATAGACCGACACCCAGCCCGCCTCCCGCGTGGCCAGTCCCCAGGCCCACGGCCCTGCCTGCTCCTCCCGTGCAGATGGAGGACCGTTTTCTTAGGGGTCGCTGGCCTCAGGGGTTGTGCTCTTCAGCTTGAGAAAGCAACAGCAGGGTGCTCTTAGTGACTCACACGTGATGGCTCTGAACCCCACCCATCCATCACTTCCCTCCGGCCCTCCGGCGTGGATGGGCCAGCACGCAGGGCTGTGCTCCTCAGAGGCATTTTTCCTGGGGGAGCATGGGCAAGGACGTAAGGTCGCTTAGGCCTCACTGGACAGGGTGGAGTGGCTCTCCAAGTTGGCACTGTGACGGCTCACTCGCGTCTTAGCTCCACGCGCTCCCCGGGACGAGGGAGTCAACATTTCCTTGTCTCCTGACGCTCGTACAGACTCCCTTGGGCGCTTCAGTCAGTTCGCCTGGCTGTGCTCCGGCACGCCTGTTTGGGTGTCGTGGCCCACAGAGGCATGGCTGGGAGCAGCCTTGGGGTCAATCCCGGTGTGCCTCTCAGCAGCGTTGTGACGTAACCTTCTGGGGACCTCCACTTCCCTCTGTCGAGTGGGAACAGATGCGCACGGGCCTCACAGGAGTCGTGGTGCAGGAAGCTGGGCACCACGGGCTGCTTCGCTACTCCAGCCTGTGGCACGGGAGGCCTGGGGGCGGCAGCACGGGCTGGAGTCGCGCAGGAAAAGAACGTGATTCAAAGAACATGATTCTATACTGCCCAGCAGCTTCCTGCTCAACAATTCCATACCAGGATAGAAACGAGAGACAGCAACGTGCACAAATCCTAAAATGTTCAGGCCAACAAATCTTGACAGAGGTCCACACTGACGTAATCACCACCAGCCAGGCTATAAGGCAGGCAGCCCCACAGAGCACTTCCTTGCTAGCCCATTCATGCTTTGAAGCCATTACGGGGCAACTTCTAGAAAGCTTGAGCAATATATGAAGGCAGCAAGAAAGAAGCTCAAAGTCTGCAAGGCACCTTCCTTTAGCACCGGGTCCTTCTAGAACCGTCTTGCCTTGCTGTGTGAAAGCTAGCCCCAAAGCCAAGAGCACCCACAAGGAAGCTGTGGAGGCAATCGAAAGCGACGCAGGCTCTAGCCCAGGGTTTTCAATGCCAAGGATGGTCTGTGTCCCAGAGGAGGGGCTAAGCCCGGACTTGAGACGGCACTAGCCTTCTGTGGCTGCCATAACAAATGGGCACAAAATTGGTGGCTTCAATTTCCCTTCTCCCAGGTCTGCATGGCAGAAGCCCCAGAGCAGCAGGCCCACCGGCCCTGGGTGCCAGGGCAGGAGCCTCCTGGCCTCTTCAAGCTCCTGGGCTCCAGGTGCCCCGGACCGGCACTGCTCTGTTCGTCTGCTCCGTCTTCTCACACAACCCTCTCTCTCATGTTTGTGTCTTTTTGTAAGGCGCCTGTCACTGATTCAGGGTTCACTCTAGATCCAGGACGACCTCCTCTTGAGATGGACTGCTGGGTTTCTTTGGGACTGCTGCTTTCCTTGGGTTCTGAAGGTGCACAGGTGTGGAGAGGTCTCCTCATCCTGCTCTCCACAGAACCTGTCTTGTCCTCGCTTCAAGTGAAGGCCAGACACTGTCCTGGGTGCCAAGGATCCATGGCGGAACAAAGGCACAAATCCCCATTTATGGAGTTTACGTCCCAGCAGGGGGAGACAGACGGCCAGACGGCCAATACAACCGGGGAGCTACAAGGGGTGCTGGAAGGTGATGGAGTCGCTTGTTAGAGAACAGTTGGTAAGAGGGACGGGGAGGTGCAGTGTGACCACATGACGAGGAGGTACCTGGGAGCTGAAGCTACCTGAGGTCTGGGGGCCAGGCGGGCCTGGCACGCCTGCACCCCGCGCGGGAGACAGAGCTGTGGGTGAGGAGGCCCGGAGCTTAGGGAGGAAAGGGGCGGGCTAGAGGCTCAGGCAGTCCTGCCGGACAAGGGCAGGAGGCTGTCAGTGGCTGGCACCAGGGAGCTGGCAGAGGGGAGGGCACAGGTGGTCGCCGTGTTCGGAGGCCGAGCCCAGGAGGCCCCTGAGAGAGGGCATGGGGGTGACAGACAGAAAGGAGTCACAGTGATTCTACCGACAGGATTTGGGGGTGCAGCACTGAGCTGGAGTTGCCAAGACCTAAAGTGGGGAACGTGGTGGGAGGAGCCAGTTGGGGGACATGGGAGTTGTGCGGCAGACATGTCACGCTGGGCTTGCTGACTGGCCCCACGACGTGAGGACCACGCCCTGTCCTGTGCTGCCTTCTCGTCTTGCCAGCTCACCCCACGTGCCTGTTCTGGGTTCTGTTCGGTGTCCGATAAGCCCAGACAGCCAGTAGGGTACTTTCTGATACCCCAGCACTGCATTGGTGTTTTCAAAGTGGCTCTCTCTCAGGTGACGGCTGGAGGCAGCGTGTTATTGTACCAAGTAATGATATGACAAGAAACCAGAGGTAGAGAAACAATCACTCTGCATGTGACATGACTGTAATTACAAAACTCAAGAAAGTAGATGGGCAAACTATTTGGAAAAATGTGATTCAGTGAGTGAATGGTTACACAATTTACAGACATCAGCCTCTAGACAAAAGCCATTTCAAGGATGTGACAGAAGAAACAGTCCATCTGGGAGAGCAGAGAGAGGGGACAAAGGGCGGGGTGTAAAGTCAAGTGACTCTGAGTATCACACCCTGACCGGTCACCTGGGAAATGCACGTTCAAGTGAGGCCTGTGCCAGCCACGGCCCAGCAGGGGCCGCCAGCGAGCTGGGGGCGGCTGGCAGACTGCCCACCCTGCCATCCATCCCCACGCTCCTTTCAGCTGCTCTGCAAGTGCCTCCACGCTGCGCCGCAGCCCCCCCTCCCCCCACACTTGGCTGCCTGGGCTGCTGCCGAGGGGCAGTCGCCGGCGCAGCCCTGCTCACAGCCGCGGGGTGCAGCCCCGTAGGCAGTGGCGGTTCCCAAGGAGGACGCGAGGCTCCCCGACAGCGGAGGGTCGCGTTCGGGAGCGAGACTGCCCGGCACTGTCGCTTGGTGCGACCCTTGGTGCGACTGTCTGCCGTGCTCAACCGGAGCCGGCTCGCTTCCGATGCCTGTCAGTGCAGCGTGGGTCTCCCGGCCTTCTGCCGCGCGTGTGCGTAGTTGCGCGGTGGCTTCTGCTTTTATTATTTGTTATTCTTTTATTAATCTTTCATTTTCACATTTGCGTTCATTTTGCCTAGTGTTTGATTGCGCCCATCGATCTCCCAGCACATCGCCTGTGACCCACCACCACAGTCCCCTTGTGCTCGCCCCATCCCTGGTTTTCACATCCCCTCCCCTGCTGTAAGCCTCAGACCTAGCTTTTGCTTCTCGAAGCACAGGAAGCCTGCCTTCTTTTGAGGTTAAAAGCTCACCGTGCAGAAGGGCCGTCTACGCTTCTGGACCTTTTGCCAGTGACATAGCACCACTGTGCCATAAGGCTGGGAGTACCCTGTAATAAATGGTTTCCACACTCGCCTGGGCACACGGCTCAGCAACCACCTAACTTTTCGATCTCCCTGGGTCCATTCTACGTTTGCAAAGTCCCGTGTGAGCAGACTGTCAGCCGCCCCTGTGTGGAAGCATGTTCCGCGTGCGCCCTTTATGGAGTCGGCTGCACGGAGCTCACGCTTGTTAACACAGCACTGACCCCAGCATGGGCTCATCGCTGATGCACCCGGGCCTGCTGCCCGCCTGCAGCCTGTCGTGGGCAGAGGCCACCTCTTTTGTGTCTATTTCTTCCCCTCCACCAGACCCTGCACATGGCAACACTCAGTTTCTGGCAGATGAATGTGCCAAGTGGGGGACACAGGTCGTGGGGGACACAGGTTCGTGTTGGCCCTTTCATCACGGCCAGAGAATCATGTGGAGACAGGAAGTTACTTCCTCTTGTCAGTCAATTTCACAGATCATACTCTAGACCAGGAACGGTCTGAGGACAAAATCCTCGAGCAAGCACATGCGCTCCCAGCTGCTGGGCCAGTGCCACATGCTCTGAGAACAGGGGCCAGTCAGAGCACAGTCACGGCGCCCTGTCAAGCCTGCCACGCAATTACCATCACCTTTCTGTTTTCAGAAATGAACTGCCTCAGAGTCCTTGGGCGTCAAGAACTGCTCCAAGAACAAAAGGGAGGGCAGAGCGCAGGCCCTACAGAAATGGATGATACTTTCTAAGTGCCGACAGTTAAAGAGGGCCAGGACGGCCAAGGGGAGGCTGTTTACAGGACACGCAGTGCTCACTCACACAGCAGTGTTAGTCAGAAAAGGAACACGTCCTCGTAATAGTGCTGAGAGCCCTGGACAATTCCTACGTCCTGTGTACTTGATGCTGGAAAGCTGCAGCTACCACGAAGTCAACTTCCTCCGTGGGCTTCTCAAATCCCAAAGTAAAAAGTAGCGTATGAGCCCGGAAGCCGTCACTTCCCAAAAGCTGACAGCCCCCGACCACGGCTACACCGCAAAAGCGTTTCAAGGCAGCAGCGGAGACCTCGACATGGAGTGCCAGCCTGAAGTAGGCACTGCTCCCATGAAGAGAGAGCAGGCGGGGCATGGGCCAGCTGCCAGGCTGAGTGGCCGCCTGCAGTCCAGGAGGTAGGACGCAGGGCCGTGGGTGAGATCAGGTAGCCCAGGATGTGGAGTGTGGTCGCCAAAACTGGGTGGGATGGCACCCTGGCAGAGGGGTCAGTTCCCGGCCTTTCACACGCCTTCAGATCTGCGATGGGGGTGGCACTCTGTGCACGCTGAGCATGACTTTGAGTCCTCTGCCTGCAGAGTCGCTCCTTCCCGCTTTGATTGCTAAGTGGCCAGGAGCCCTGCTCACCAAGGGCAGACCTGGGCTGCTTCCCGACAGGGGAAGCCCCACAGCAGAGAGCCCTCTGGCGGCCCGCGTTAGCCCACACGCAGAGCAGAGAAGGAAAACGGTTTCTTTCCTTGAAGGCTCATCTCAGTGCAATCACTGGAAAGAACCGCCTCATCACGGGCAGCACCTTCAAGCCACTAAAGGAAGGAGTGGGCATGCGGAACTTGGAAATTTCCCGAATTTTAAAATCAGGTCACACTTTAGTAAACATGGATTTTGTGCCAAGCGACTTATGTGGTTGAGGAATTAAAGAAAATGTGTAATTACAGTTGGTCTAAAATCAAGTGTAACTTTTTTAGTCTGATATTCCCTCATGATATGCTCCACCCCTTCCTAATATTCAGCATTAGAATATTTTAAAAACGAAACAAGTGCAATGATCCGATTCCAGAAGTAAAGGTCAGGCAGCCACTTCGCTTACCTGTTGCTTGATTCTGGGGTTCCACCTAATGTAGTAATTCACCCACAGTTCCAGGTGGCGCATGCTGGCAACTGGGTATAAAACTCGATTGATTTCTTTAGTGTAGAAGGGATTTTTGAATTTTTCTTTGTTGCTGTTTACCAGCGACCATAAGGAAACGGTTCTTTCTGGAACATTCTACAGAGAAAAAGAGTGTAAGGCCTAAGTGAAAATGCACACAAATCCACAAACCATCTGCAGCAGCAACTTGAACCAGACATTCTCATTATCCCCATAATAGCTCAAAAAGCCTCCAGGGCCACTGAGTGCAGGGCAGCCACTTAGCGCTGCTTGCATAGATGATGGCCTTGCTGGAGAGTCACTATGCTGCTGGGAGGGGCCAGGCTGCTGGAACTTTGAATGCAGCTAGTTCACTGACCTGAGGAGCCTCTGCCTGGCAAGGTAAAAACACGGAGGCACAGATGAGCGAGATGCTCTTTTGAATTCAGCAGGAAGAAAAAGTGCTTCTAAGATGCCACTGACGTTTTCATTTTTGTCTTTATTCAACTGTGCAATCATGACCTGAGTCTCCTTGATAGCAGGCATCCAGATACAGTGCCACTTTAATGAGCCACCCAGAAGTTTAGTCTACAGCGTGCGATGCCCGATGGCGGACAGCAGCGGAGCATGGCCGTGCTCAATCTCCGCTGCTTCCCCTGGTGTCCACTGCCTCACATGGACACACGTTTTCCTCACAGGTCTTTATTTCAAATGTACTGGAACCTACACAGCACTGCAAACCGTCACCTCAATGTAGTATGTAGCACATTTTTTGGAACCATTTTTGACCATAAACCGAGGGAAAACGGAAGCTTGGGAAACAGTGTCAGACGCAGCGAGGCAGAATGTGACAGTGTCTGTCCCTAGTGCTGACTTCAACCAGAGAGGAGCAGGCAAACTGGAAGCTAACTGGAAGCTAACGCGCTGTAACGAGGAACGCAGACAGATACTTCGCTGAGTGTGACGGGCAGTAACGCAGCAGATCTCTGCCTTCCTTGGAATCCACTCCCAAGCTGTGTTTTTGATGCCACAGTCTTCATCACGTTGTGCTGAACAGTTTGCTTACTTTATTTTTATACTCCTCACGATTTAAAAAGTCAAATATTCCACATGATCTGTTGTGAGTAAAGCAGCCTCGTTCCAGCAGCAACTGTCTGACTTTTCGAACTGTGTCTTTGCGCGAGCTCTCCTGTGCCTGTCTGCGGCCCTGGCGTGAGGCTGTGGCCGGCCCTTCTGCCAGCCTCACACTTCTGGGGAAGCGTGCGGCTGCGTACCCCTGCCTTCGCTCTGCCGTGCCGCTGCTGGGGCTGTTTCCCTGATGTAATAGCTGCCAGCTCTGTGGGGTCACTGTTTGGGGCCACTAGCATTAATTCAGCCCCAAGGTTTCCCTCCGACCTCTCAAGCTACTGCCAGACACCTGGCACCTGCAGGCCTCTCAGTTTTGTCTTGGGAGAGCAAGTTGGTTGCCTGGTGCACTCACCCCATGTCTCTGTGGAGTGGATACTCAGGTATGTTCCAGAGTGTGGTGCAGGAGCAGGAGGCCCATGGCAAAGTATCTCGGCTGGGCCTTCAGTTCTGGGCAGCAGGGCCCTGGCAGGGCACTGGCTCTGGGAGCCAAGGTGGAACCTTCTCCCTTAATTGACTTTTGGAGGCCAGGCTCCCCTACTCTTGTGCTGCCAACACTGCTGTGAGGAAGCCAGTCTCCCTGACTTCTGTTTCCTTACCAACTGCCTGTTCCTCTTCTCCCTAGAGAGGAAGGACAAGGACCTCTTCTTTGTGGCGGGTGTTGCCAAGGCGCACAGACAGGCGCCTTCCTCAACAGGCACATACTTCAGTTTTGGTTATTTCGCCAATTTCCTGCTCTCATTTCCCTAGTTTGTCTTTCTAGACCTCCTGTCATGTGGGTATTGTCTCTCCAGCCACCACTGGTAGATACTGGGGCCACTTTGACTTTCTCGCGGTTGGGAGTGCCGCTGCCGGGAGCAGCAGAGTGTTAAAGGTTCTGTTCCCACTTCTATTTTCATTTCTCTTGGGCATGTAGCAAACTCACCAGGCCACATGGTAATTCTCTATTGAGCTTTCTGAAAGTCCCCAGTCCGCATCCTACAATGTCCGTGCCAGCGGCGGTAGAGGGGGTTCGTTTTCTCCCCTCCCTGGCAGAGGGGAGGGCTGTCTCACACTCCCACCTGAAGTCAGCAGGGGAAGCCAGCAGGCTCTTAGAGGCCCCCTCTTCTCCGTTCACCCTGTCCCCTGAAGCAGGCAGGCCCCAGCTCTGAGAGCCACACTCCCCTCTTCTCTTGAGAAACCTCTGTCAGAGGCCTCAGCGCCGAAGCGGGCAGAAGGAGGTATGGGGAAGCTGGCTGCCTATTCTCTATACAACTTCCTTCAGGTTATCTTCGCTCTCTTGGCCTGAAGCCTGCAACAGTCTGGTCCTCAGTCACTGGGTGCCCTGTTTCTGGCTGAGGCTGGCCGAGGGCCACTTCTTGGCTTCCCCCTGCTGGCACCTGCTTTTCCCCAGCTGACTTGTTCACCATGACTCGATGGCTTTCCAGCTTTCAAACGTGCTGTCTCCTCATCGTCCCACTGTGTGCTGGTTTGTGCCTTTAGGAAACTCCACTTCTGCCATTTTTGTGGCATTTTGGGAAGGAGGATTTGTACACTTTTAAAACCGTTCCTACTCACTTGAGGGCGAAGCCAGTGTCCTCCTCTGCAGTGACCACGGAGCACCCAGTGAAAAGCAGCTGAAGCGTAAGGCCAGGCTGGGGTGACAGGTGAGGGCCCTGTGCCGAGCACCAAGTGGGAAGCCCCCGATTCCCCTATGGCTCAGCGGACTCGCCACACTGCAGGGAGCCTTTAACGCAATAGGCTGGCATTTCCACTAACCTGCTTTACTCGAGTGGACTCACAGTTGTACAAGAAAGTACCAAACCGGCAACTGTACAGATGATCCAGAATTGTGATCAAAAACCGCTCATTGAATTCAAACGCTGTGGGGAACTAGATGGAAACAAATAAGCAAAGAAAGCATGAAAGCCTGGGTTGGAGATTTTACTAAGCTGAAAGGACGCATTTACAGATATGCCTAAATGTTTCTGGTCCTTGCATGGAGGACACCTCAGCTGTTGGAGCTTTGCAAAGGACTGAGGCCTAGAAATAAGTGGCAAGTAAAAGCAAAAAGAGGAAAATAAAGCAACTTTGTGGATTCCCCTGAATACGCGAGGAGAATTAATTATCTGAGATACGATGTGAGCAATGTGCCTATGTCCAAAGGCCGGTGTAGAAGAAACGAGGCCATGTGATACTGTCAACTCTATGACTCCTCCACTAGTAGAGATGACAGTTAAATGCTGAGCTCTATAACTTTTTAAAAAGTCTGCACATAGCAACAGTAGCGAAAATTAAAAAATGAACCCCACCTACCCATCAGGCAGCTTCAATGATGCATTGGTACATGGCCAGTCCTGTTTCACTCCTATCTCTAGCCTGTTGCTATTTGGGGGCAAGTCTCAGCTAGTCCTTCAAAGTATGTGTAAACATCAACTTGAGTGTTTTCGCGCCCCCTGTATCCCCTTACCTGTTTTGACATCTGCCATACACAGTCGATAAATTGGAGGAAAATAGGAGACCGGTCAGCGTCGGCATGGTTCTTATCGCCGTGACCTATTCTCTGAAATGGATTGAGGGTTATTTTAACTGGGGGCACAGAACTGAGAAAGCACATGACCTACACCACACGGCGTGGCGTGGACAGACAGCAGTCTGGTTCCAGTCACTACGTCCCTTCCAGAGGAAATAGTGTGTTTTTCCATGGCAACAAAGACTGTAACAAAACATTTTGAAATATGAGAAATGAAGCACACATGTGTACAAAGCACCAGCACAAACTGGCAAGGCCTCACTGCCCTCTGTGTGTCGCGAGGACTTCACACGAGGGGCAGCACCGGCGGGCAGCATAGGATGCTGCCCTGAGGGTCTTGCAGAGTAAGCTGCCAGCGGCCAAGGGCCCACACTTTCAGTTCAGGCCTGGAAACTATGGCCAGGCGGCTGTGATTAAATAATGAAAAGTGGCCCTCTCCTAAAAACAAGACAAAAACCTTCCCACTCACGGATTTACTACACAGTGATTTTGACTCGAAAATGCCACTGACACCACTGAGGAAACAGGGATGCAGATGACCGTTAGCGGCGCTCCCAAAGCCTCCCCGCAGCGCCCTCCGGGGGCACCTGGAAACAAGGCCTGGAAGTATGAGTCGTGGCGGCTCTTTCCAGTCCTAAAACGCCTATCGGAGAATAGCAGAAAGCCCCTCCTGGCAATGAAGCACCCTAGGAGAGAGCGGGCTCCGGAGCCCCTGTGGCCTGCCCCCGCCTCCCACGCGGTTTCAGGTGAGGGGCGCCGCGTGCACGTCCACGCAGACTCTAACACTTTCCCTCCTGTCAGTCACAGGGACGAATAAACCGACTTCCCAAACAACTTCTATGCCTACTACGCACTACAGGTTTCTAAAAAGTAAATATATGCTTCACAACTGGTTTTTCAAATCCCAAGTGGCTATGATCTGACTTTTTTTTTTTTTCCAAAACCTGCTTTGGGCCCTCCCTGGTGGCGCAGCGGGTTAAAGCACAGCACAAAGAAGCTTAAGCCACTTCTGCATGAGTTGGATCCCCGTCTGCCCCGGAGGTGACCCCATGGCGCGGCAGACCTCTCCTGACCCGCCCCTGCTCCCCTCAGCAGTGGACTTTCTCCATCTGCCTGTTCTGCTCCCCACTCTGCCTCTGGTGAATCCTCTCACCCTCCGCATCTCTGGCCTGTACCCCAGTTCTGTACGAATAAATAAATAAATCTTAAAAAAAAAAACCTGCTTTGTTAGGTACTCACAGATGCAAACTTGTGTCCAAAACTTATCCATTCTTTCTGTACCAAGATTTCAAAGCCTTCGATACTCCGATAGAAGCCGTCCAGCATGAGCATGGCCAGGGACGTGAGCTGGGCCGTGCGGTCCCAGCCGTCGCTGCAGTGCACCACCACCGAGCTCTTCCCTGAAGAGACTTTGTCGGCCACTTGAATAGCACCCGTCAAAACAAGCTGCAAGGAAAATCGGAGGCATGAGCAGGTTGCTACTTGCATTTGAAGGGAGCACACTGAACCCTGGACAAAGTGCTGTTTTAAAGTACTATTAATGCTCAGAACGGAAAAAGTCCTGCAAGTGGAACATCAGGAGCTGCAGGGTCTGATGGGAAACTGCACTTGACTGCAACTAAGTGTTCAAAACCGAAACCAGACAGGCAGGAAGCCAGGTGCACCTCACGCCCGTTTTCAGGCGCTAGCCCGCTTTCCCCCTGCTTGAGCTGCCGGGCAGCCACGGGGACTAACGGCCGAAACGGAACTGCACTTGGGTCGGGGGGCCACAGGCTGAGATGTGCCCGGGTTCTGTGTCTCCCTGTGCACACCGATTGTGTGGGCCAGGGCCCGCTCCACACCAAGATGACCTTGTCTTAACTACTGCACCCGCTAAGGTCATGCTCTGAGGTACAAAGGGTGAAGGGCTTCAACATGAGTTTTGGGGAGACACAATACAACCTGCAATGGTGAGCATATTAGCAAACTCGCTGGTCCGCTAGGTCTACTCAGTCAGGGCCTTAAACGTCGGATGTAAGAGAAATCACCTTCTGGCTTTACGATGACAAAGCAGGAACTCTGCACATGGTTCAGAAACAGGAGAACAGCTGCCAGAAGTGGTGACTTTCTCAGAAAATGCCGAGACTGAGAAGCACCAGTAAATGTATGTCTGTAAAGAGCTGTGCTATCCTTGTCGGACAAGTACTTTATAAAATACTTTATAAACCACAAAACTTATCTCCCATCCATAAGTGTGCAGTTAAAAAAATAAATTTACATTCGCGCAGCCACACCACAACCCAGCGGTAGAACACTTCCCCTCCCAGAAAGGGCTGTGCGCTCTGAGGTTAATGTCTGCTCCCAGCCCCAGGCAGCCTCTAGTTTACTTTCTGTCCTGGGACTTCTGCCTTTCCTAGAAATTTCACATAAATGAATCACACCGATAGCTACTCCTTTATGTCTGGCTTCTTCCGCTGAGCAGAGTTTGTGGTGCACTGACGCCACAGCACGACAGCACTCCATTCCTTTGTGAGGCCAAATGATATTCCCTACGCGGGTAGACCCCACTGTATCTATCCATTCACCAACAGACAGACACTGGGCTGTTTCAGCACCTGTTTCTTAAGAGTAGCACTACAGGGAACGTTAGCATACACGTTTGTAGGGACATACGTTTTCAGTTCTCTTCGGTAAACACCTAGGCTGGCAATGATTGGATCATGAGGTCACTGCATGGTTAGATAAATTTTTAAGACACTGCCAAGCTGTTTGCAAAGTAGCTGTACCATTTCGGATTCCTATCAGATTCGATAGGATTCAACAAAAGCGATTACTAGGAGGGAATTTCGTAGCAATACAGGATCACAGTGAGCAGCAAGAAAAGTCTCAAGTAAATAATCTAACCTTACATCTGAAGGACCTAAAAAAAGAGCAAGTAGAAGTCAGTAAACAGAAGGAAGTAAAAATTAGAACAGAAATAAATGAAACAGAAATAAAACAAAATATCAATAAAACCAACAAGAGATTCTCTGAAAGGACACAAAAATTTGATATACCCTTAATCTAGGCTCACTAAAAAATAAAGAACAAAAACTCTAATTAAAAGAATCAGAAAGAGGTGAAGTTTCGACAGCTACTTGAATATAAGAGACAAGAGAGCCTACTATGAACAGCTACATGCAAACAAACAGAACAACCCAGAAGCACACAACTTTCCAAGCTGAACCAGGACGAAATAGATAACTTTTGAAGACAGCAATCACAAGCACACAAATAAAAAAAAAGTCTCTCAGAATAAAAGCCCAGAGCTAGTGAATTCTAGCAAACCTTCAAAGAAGATCTAATAGGTATCCTTCTCAAACTTCGAAAGTGCAGAGTGGGGAATGCTTTTATACCTATTTTATGAGGCCAGAATCACTGAGTCAAAAACTGGGCAAGGACGACACAAAAATAGAAAACTACAGACCAGTTTCTTCCATAAACCATAAACGTAAAAATCTTCAACAAAATCTTTGCATGTTAAATTCAACAAAACATTAAGAGAATAATACATTAGGACTAAGTGTGATTAATTCCAGAGATGCAAAGATATACAAATACATGTACAAATCAATTAATGTAATTTACCATATTAACAAAAAGAAAAAGTCACACATGAAGTGTGTGACATGATTCAAGATCCATTTATGTAAATCTCTCAATAAAATGGAAGTACAAAGGCTGTACCTCAACACAATAAAGGCTACATACGACAGACCCACAGCTAATATCACACTCAATGATGAAAAGCTTAAAGCTTCTCCCACAAGATCAGGAAGACCAGGATATCTACTTCACCACTATAGTTCAGCATGGTTTTGGCAGTCCTTGTCAGAGCAATTAGGCAAACAAAAGATATAAAAGGAATGCAAGTTGGAAAAAAAGAAGTTATATTATCACATACCTAGAAAATCTTAAAGACACCACCAAAAGAGTAGTAGAACTAAGAAATGAATACTGTGAGTGGAAGGATCTAAAATCAATATACAAAAACTTGTTGTGTTTCTCTACGTAAACAATGAATTTAGAAGATATTCAGAAAACAATTTCATTGACAATCACATCAAAAACAATAAAATACCTAGAAGCAAATTTAACAAGGAAGGTGAAAGGTCTGTACACTGAAAACTACAAAACTGTTGATAGAAATAAGACACAAAGAAATGGAAACAGAACCCATGTGTTTGGATTGGAAAAATAAGCATTGTTAAAATGGACATGTTACCCAAAGCAATGTACAGATTCAAAGCAATACTTGTCAAAGTTTCTTTAAAGAAATAGAACAATTATAAAATTTGTAGGAAACCACAGAAGACAACACAACTAAAGCATGCCAGTGAAAAAAGAAGAAAAACGGAAGATGCATGTTCTCTGAGTTCAAACTATATTATAAAGTGACAGTACTAAAAAAAGTACGGTGTGGAATAAAAACAGACATACAAACCAGTAGGCTAGAATTGTGACACCAGAAATAAACCTACACCTATATGGACAGTTAATCTATGACAGAGGAGTCAAGACCATACAATGGGGAAAGTAAAGCCTCAACAAATGGTGCTGGGAAAACTGGACAGCCATACGCATAAGACCACTATCTAACACTGTATCCTAAAATTATTTACACTGTGTACAGACAATACACTCCTGGACATCAATCTCAGAGATGTGTTTGCAAGGAAAAAAAAAAAGCAAAAATAAGCAAATGGTACTATCGATACATCAAACTAACAAGCTTTTGTACAGTGAAAGAAACCACCACAAAATGAAAAGGAAGCCTACTGACTAGGAGAGGCTATCTGGACATTCTATATACAACAAGGGGTTAATATGCAAAATATATAAAGAACTCATACAACTCAACAAACAGAAAACAACCCAGTCAAAGGCTGGGCAGAGAATTAGGCATTTGTCCCAGCTAGCTAGCTGCCCTTTTGCTAGGAAGGGTCCTCTTACCCTTATGCTTTCTTTAAGGCCCAGCTCAAGTCCCCCATAATCCCAAAGGGTCTGTTCTTCGTCCTGACTTTGCTGTGAATGCTCTTTGCTACTTGATGCACAGTAATCTGGAAAGTTATGCTCTGTTTCTGCACACATATAATTTCTTCAATCACATAGGAACCTCCATAAAGGCAGAAGAATGCCGGACCTTCACAGGGTCTAGTTTTATACACCATGAGAATGTCATCTTTTTTCAAAGTAACTCTTTTATTTTAGGGACGTTATTTTACATTTACAGAAAACTTGTAGAGGTACAATGCAAAGTTCCCATATACTTGACTCAGTTTCCCCATTACTGAAATCACATCATACTACCCCACAACTGCCTCAGATATTCTTGAAAATATTCAAGTACTTTCACTTTTAAAAGAATGGAATTTTGGATGACTTTATCAAGATGAAGGATCAACTATAATAACAACACAAAATCCATTCTGTAGAGTAAGGCAATTTGGGATTAGTCCCAATAAATGCAATCTTTCTCTGGGTCCTTGAGGGCCACGCAGTAGGTCAGATGATAAATGGGCTGTTCCTAAATAACCTGTGTGAAGAGACTCAACCACGGACTGCCGAGGACAGGAAAGGGACAGCCCACTTCCCTCACTTAGTCTAAGAGTGCTGCTGTGAAATCTTTAACGCAGGTAAGCAAATCATAAAGAAACAAGTCTGTAAAGGGCAGAACCCTACAGAACAAGTACTTCCTCTTCCACTGTTCAATTTCTGAAAACTTAACAAATGAAAGAAAATTCCACTAAGCAACTGCTTTGCTTTTTTATAAATATACGTCAAGCTTTTTTTAGAAAGTATACTTGCCTTGATGTGCTCTAACCAGTGAGTAGACTCCAAACTGGACAACCAGTGAGATTCTTCTACATTAGGGTAAACAATGTCTTTTACTTTTTTTAAAGATTCCCGCATGACATGAATGTTATGAATGTCTAAGAAGAAAAGTTCGGCGTTATGATACGCATCATCACTTTCATATCCTCCTCCTGTTGCCTAAGAAACAAGATACACAAACAGTCAGCTGGGTTTTCTACTTTATCAGTAACTTACACAAACATTTCAAGTTGTCGGTGCTCCAAGCCAACAACCTAAAACCCTCCTATTTAGAATAGTCAATGTGAGCCGATGTTCACCCCCCTGCCACCACACCCCCAAGGCTTCGGAACATCAGTCACACTTGGAGCTTCAAGGAGAGATACAGGGCAGGCAGCAATTTCCTAGGGATCTGCATTTGCATGGAAGTCATTTCCAGAATGCTCTAGAATTACCAGCTCTTCTTCCAGATCTGAAGGACAGGACCATCAGCTTTGTAACAACACTCTGAGGGGGGGGGGGGACACAGCAAACACATGAATGTGTGAAAGTCACCAGGACAGGTGCCCACACAGAGGAGCATCACACAGTCACTGGCAAGAGCCTGCGAGCTTGGGCACACAACATGGCCACACAGGCTGGCTACGGTATGCAGCTGCCACATAATTTTTTATAAAGTGGAGAATGATGGAAGGAACAGAAAGCGGAAGCCGGGGCAGAAACACCAAAGCATCCTATAGCTTTCTTCCAGGGGCAGTCACAGAGGTTTCCAGCAGAGGAAAGGCTACCCCTGAACTTCAAACCTGGAGCCCTATGTCCAAGCGTGAGGCTTTGGTTTCCAAAGGCGAGGAAAAGGTGAGGAAAAGGTTTTATGTGAAAGTGTAAAAAGCTATCTGTCAAGTCTGCGACGAATAGCCTCAGAGGTAGGTACTGTCAACATTCACTTAGCTGTTTTTGAAGTTATTACTTAATGAAAAAATGGACAAATAGGCCTTTCCCCTGGCCAGGTTGTCCACACCTCTGGGAAGAACACCTTGAAGTGCATGCGGGGGTCACTGCAGCCCACAACAGTGTGGAGCCCAAGTCTCACTCCACCTGTACACGCGTTACGCAGATGACCCGCTTTTCCCGTGTGGCTTTTTAATAGCTCAGTCATTTTTGAAGAATTCTCAATACTAGAGTTTCCTTCATGAACAACTGAAGATGGTATGTGAAGAAGCAAAGGGGAACTACACCTATCACTCATTGCCAGTCTGGCAAACCGGACACGAATCCAGCTCCATGGTAATTCATCAAGTGCATCACTACAAAACTGGAGCAGCCTGGTGCTGGATCTTATCTCCCCGGGCTTTGTCTGCTTGTTTAATTTAAAACGGTGTGGTGCTGCTTCTTGTGTCTGGGCTGGGAAACTTCTACAATTCCACAGAGGAGGAGCAATTAGATCCAAAGAGAACAGAAGTCAGAAGGGTAAAAGTCAATTAGTCGAGCATAGATTGAGTTCCCCAAAGTTCAAATTCTCTGTCCGCTCGGTTTGGAAGCCTACTTTTTGGTTTTCTTTTCCTACCCAGAAGGAATAGGTAAAGGTTCAAGGGCCGTTGCTATGGACGAGCTGCTGGAGGAGGAGAATCTGAACAGAGATTATGAAGAATGACTCGGCCCTCAAACGCCTCGGTTTCCCCTTCCCTTTCATTCGTGGAGGCCTGGAAACACAGGCCTATTTCCTGAGAGTCAGAGGCCTTCAAGGATTTGCCTGCTCTCACAATGTGCTCTGGAGTTAACACAGTGGACACAGTCACTGCATACACTCTACATCTTAAAATATTCCTTTCAAATACTTCATTTTAACGTGATGGTCTATTTCAGGCTAAGTGTATACATGGAAATTTTGTGTTTTATACATGCATTCCAATCTGAACTATAGATGAAGCATCGCAGGAACAGAAACATATAAAACTGAGAACAATCCAGAAGCCAGTCATACTAAGTTTCCTGAAGGTTTTATTTATAATTCCTAACTTATTCATCACTTTAACTTCCTGATTCCTTCAAAATCACTGTTATTGCCTAAACTAATACTATCTGTAGTAAGAGATAGTTGGTCCAAGACCGAGGGCAGGGGGTGTGGAGGGGATCCCAGGAGGAAATGGAGGCAAATCGCAAGAGTGGCTACAGCTGTCTCGGCTGCTCTGGGACCTGTCTTGTTTTCTGATTCATAAATGAGCCTTGAAGAATTGAAAATGCCGGAAAAGTGACCTCAGGACGTGCAAAATACTGTAGATGACGAGACGAAAGCCTCCAGCCAACAAGAAAGAATTCCTCCAAAAGGCAGAAGGGACTGGGGTGAACACCTTGGCCGGGCCCACTGCGGGCACTCGGAAGTGACAGCTGGCAAGAACAGGAGAGAAAAACTGATCCCAAACACCGGCGATCAGCTGGAAACATCACTTTCATCTGGGGCTATTTAACACTGGCCAAACAGCTTCACCTCTCGAGGCAGCACTCTGCCCTGCACTGATGTTCAGGACAAGGACCCTCATCAACTTCAGGGGCGCTCAGCACATTATGCTGAAGAAGGCTGAGAGCAGAGCGCTTTGAAAATATTAATGCCATGTCATTAAATCATTAAATATGATTATTCACTATGTATATGTGGATGTAAAATTCACACTATAGATCTTGAATGTTCTTACAATAAATGAAAAGACACACTTAGGAGCACAACGAAGGGGGTGTGTTTTGGTCAAGCTACACAGTTAGGATTTCAACAACCACAGCGCACACAACTCCCCACATCCACACCTGCAAGGCTCCAGAAACCTGAACTTAGGCTTGATTCTGGCCAAACTTCAACTTCAGTACAGCTCTAGATTTTTGAGAGTGACCTACACATTCTTTTCATTGGACTTGAAAGTAATGCACCTTGTGTTGAAGATCATGTTCGGCGATTAAAACTTTACTCCACACAAGTGAACTGCCTTTCTCAACTCATCAAGTTCAACCATCCACCCGAAGGTAAGCATTATTTCAAGGCAGACGTGAGCGACGTGAGCGTGGCGGGGCAGAGCACTCGGGATCCTGTAAGGACGGGGCAGCCAGCAGCCCCGGGCTGACTCACCTTGTTGGCCACTGCGTTCACACTGGGTCTTGCGTCATAGATGGTGAGTTTAGAGACTTGTCTGTTAGTCTCCCTGATAACATCAAGGTACTTCTCGTCATCTTTATTTCGCTTCCCACTCATACCGACCAGAGGCTGGCTGCACCGCACGATGACGGTCTTGTTTTCCGGGTGAATCCACGAGAGCACCTGCAGTTAGTTCAGAAATTTTAAGCTATCAGAAAAAAAACCAAATCTTGAGAAAATAATGAGAACTAGAAGAAGCAACGCACTAAAATGTCACGATGAAGTATATCCCATCTTGCTGGCTGAAATGCAGGATTGGGTCACCTGTGCGTTCACTGGTGCGCCCAGAAACGCACTAGGGAGGCGAGCAGCTGGAATCACGATCCCGAGGCTTTCCTTCATCAGCGCTGAGCGCACACCCAGCATCTCATCACCCAGGAGAGCAGAAAGATGGTGACAGGCCTTCAGGCCTATGGCTCGTGCTGGTTGTCACACAAGAGGCTGGGCAGAGGTGAGGCAAGCGAGGACTCCTGCCTGGGCGGCGCGTTCCTCGTGACAGGACAAGTCCACAGGCCACCGCCCCACCAGGCGAGCTTATGGCATTTAACGTGGGGAGCAGCAGAGGTCTCAGGACAGTGCAAGGTGCCAGAGAGCCACCATGACGTGGGTCACTCGGCCTGGGGAGGGCTCGTGGAGTCCACAGGCCTGGTGGGCCCGCTCTGACTTCTGCCCAAGACCAGTGTGAGGCCTGGAGTGCCCACTCACTGCACGTGAGAAGCAATGCCTGGAAAAGGGAGTTCACAATGCCACACGTGCAAACTACAAAACTGCCCGCTTTATTTTCCCCACCCCCATCCTTTGTGCCCTTTGACCCTTTCTCCCTCCGCCCAGCCTCAGAAACTTCATTTAGCAGTGTCACTAGCTGGTAAGTATTCTGCTTGGTCTGCTCATCTGCTATGGCTTGTTTTACTTAGACACGAAATCATCAACTATTTGCCTTTGTCACTGTGACCTCTGTGCCACACAAGCTCCCGTGAGCGTCCCTCCTATGTTGCTGCCCATCGCAATGCTTCGCCTCTCCTGGGGGCTGAGCAGTGGCCCGCGCTATGGACGGACCAGGTCTCCCTCGCGGGCCTTAGCCCTGCCAGCTGTGGCACAGCGCCGCAGGGAGCACTGAGCTCACCCTTGAGCTGGCCACTCCACGCTCCACGTCCCTGAGAGCTACCCACACGGGATGCTGGTCCTGCAGGATTCCCACTTGCAGCTTTTGAAGGGAAGTCCAGGCTACGTTCCAGCACAGCCCACCCGCTCACTTCCCCCCAGCCGCGAAGGAGGTTCCCTTCCTTCCGTGTAGTTACTGACTTTCTGGGATAATTGTCTACTCAGATCTGCTGCCCACTTTTTTTTTTTAAAGATTTATTTATTCATACAAAACTGGGGTACAGGCCAGAGATGTGGAGGGTGAGAGGCTTCACCAGAGACAGAGTGGGGTACAGAACAGGCAGATCGACGAAGTCCACTGCTGAGGGGAGCAGCGGGGAGCAGCGGTCACCTCTGGGGCAGGCAGGAATCGAACTCATGCGGAAGCGGCTTTAGATTCTCAGTGCTGTGCTTTAACCCGCTGCGCCCCCAGGGAGGGCCCTGCTGCCCACTTCTTAACTGAGCTGTTTGCTCCAGAACTGTTGACTTTAACTGGTGACCTGTCCGGTAGGGAATCAAAGCTCAGTAAAGATAGTAGAGGGGTGAGAGGCGCAGCATGGCTTCACCCGTGCTGCCCTGGGACTGGCGTGAATGTTCCATGGCTCTAAGCTGGGCACTGAACTCCTGGCCACTGTCACTTCCCTCTCATCCGTCTGTGAATGGGAGGTGACGTCATCTCATGGGTCTGCTGGGAGGACTGGGGAAGCACACACAAGTCCCAGCTCAGTGTGCGTCCTTGGGCTGGACAGCAAAACCCAGTACTGACAACTACGCCGAGCAGACATGAGACGAAAGCGGCACCAGCGAGCTTGCTGGCACCAGCCGGGCTGCCATTGATCCTGGAGGCAGCAGGATGGCAAACGACCACGGCGGGTGCTCACAGGCCAACGTCCACAGTGACAGCGGGTGTTTTGCACCGTGCCAAGCGCTGTTTCATACACTAGGGTGGCCCATGGCTAAGAAGTTAAGTGGGCTGCAACCACTGTGACCCTTCCTTCCCTCTCTCCTTCCTTCCTGCAACCCGGCTTCCCGCGCCGGCTGCCTGGGCTGCGGCAGGCCACTCTGCTGGCCCCTGCCTGGCAGGGAGCTCTGGGAGCTGAGCTTCAGAAGCCTTGGGAAAGGCACAGAGACCCTCCAACCCCCCTTTCTTACTGTCAACCTAGAGATGAGACTTGCTCTCCCCACCTCCAATGGCCTTTATTGCAAGGAATAGGAAATCCTTTTATTATTATTTTTAATTTAATTTGTTTTCAGGTTTATTGAAACAGAACTGACACATAACACTGTTAGCCTAAGGTGGACAGCGTGTTAATTTCATACAAGCTTACTTTGGAAAGAGCCAAGTTCTATAAATACATTAGACTTATTGGATAAAGATCCTCATCAGGTTGTCAATTTCAAGCAGCCCTGTGCCTACCTGAGCCCAGATTTCTCGGCCCCCTTCTCTCTGCTTGGGAGGGACATAAAGGAGTCACCGCCCAAAGATGTTTATCCCAGCATGTTTCTCATAGCAACGTGCAAAGGAGCCTGATGTCCCCAGATAGGAGTGTGCCTGAACACACCGGCGCCCGGAGAGGTGTGCATCAAACAGTTTGCGTGTTATTTATGCACAAAATAGCAAGGTCTCTTTCTTGCCAGTGCTTTTTATATTTTGTATAGGCTCTTTAAAAAGAACTGAAGAGCAAATACTAATGCTTTCACATTAAAAGCACATGCATTTTCTGGATTATAGTCAAGAGTCAGGTGATTGGAAGGTAGAGCAGAACAAACACATTATCTCCCATTAGCTATTCCTAGGCGTGGCATCTGTAAAGATCTAGCAGTGATGAAAAACTCAGCCTTAGGAAGATCGACCTAATGGGTAGAGAGGCACAGAAGCAAGCATTCCATTTGGGGTAAGCCGGCGCATGCTCACAGCGCAGGAGGACTTCCGCGTCGAGGGCAGCCTGGAGGCAGCCGCTGGGTTTGCTTGCTTCACCCCTTCTCCTGCCCCAGCTCACGAGAGTCTCTCTCCTGCTCCCTCTCTCCTGTCTCTCTCTCACACACCCTGCGAAAGCAGATGCAGATGACCACTGAAGGTTAACTGAGCAGGCCATGACCCACAAAGTATGGCCACGCAGAGGACTAAGCTTCTAAGCGTAGCTTCCTTAGCCCGCGTTCTGGCATGATGAGTCAGCGGGCATACTTTCCCTACAATAAACATCAGGAAGGCACAAGCGGCACTCAGAGAGGAGCAAGTGGTTTTAAATAGTACCATTCACATGAGACTACCAAAGTTTTACGGACAGATTACCGAAGTTTCACACAAAAAAGCCATTTAAGGACAGGAATGTCTAGACTTGGAGGTTAAAGGCAAGGTGACGTTAAATCTCAAATTCTTTGTCCCTTCTTTTATACTTTTGGGGGGGCGGAAGGCAAAACAATGCTTTTCTTATGACAGGCCCTGAAAACAGAGCAAGCAGACTCGCCGCATTTTTAGTCAATTACATGTATGCACATGGGGAAGATACAACATGCACCTAAGTATTTACGGACCACAGAGAACCCTGTGGGTGAGGCCCAGGGCAGGGCAGGCGCCCGGGACAGGCTGCACTGGACCCCGTTGTGCACTCGGCCGATCGCTGGCAGACTTCGTGCCAAACGACTGCAACCACTGTGACCCTTCCTTCCCTCTCTCCTTCCTTCCCGCAACCCCGCTTCCCGCGCCGGCTGCCTGGGCTGCAGCAGGCCACTCCGCTGGCCCCTGCCTGGCAGGGAGCTCTGGAGGCAGGGCCGCCTCGCCCTCCCGCCAGGCACCTGGTCCTCACTGGTTGGACTGAAACTGCACTAGAGGATTGCGCTGAGTGGCCTGACAACCATCCTTGGGGGATAAAAGACACTGTGTGGAAAAGGCCAGTTGCAGTACTCACTGGAATTCGATTCCGGGACCTGAAAGCAGCCACTCTCCTGAGGTCGTCATCTGAGGCCTGGTAGGGGACCACCAGCAGCGCGGGGTATGTGTCGCAGAGCTCATAGCGCTTGTTGATGAAAGTTATTCTCCAGTGGTGGTTGGGCAAGCCCTGCAGGGAGAGAGGCCGGGTCAGGCCGCGCCACTTCAGCCCTGCATGCGGCCTGGGCTCCCCTTTCTCTTTTGAGCAGATACTGCTTGTTCACCCCCTTGACCTCGGGGTGGTGGCACCAGTTGTAAGAAGGGGGTCAGATCAATAATACAGACAACATCAGAGTACAAAACAGAACCACCCTGGGAAACACTCGCGCCCTGTGGTGCAGCAAGCTCTCCCTTGCTACTTGCCGATATGGATACACCTGAGTTCACCCCTCACCCATGCACCCCCTCACCTCAGACAAATGCAGCGCGTCATCATAACCCACACCTAAGTGAGCGTATAAAAGACACTCTGGAAAGTTCTTCTCCCCGCTCAAAACAGAGCGAAGGCTTGAGTCTGCTCCAGAGTAGAAAGAGGCAAAGTTTACAAGGCAAGTCAGAGGGGAAGTGAAGGAAAACCCCTCTGGGGAGGCTCATTTCGCCACCTCCTCAGAGCTTTACAGCCAAGTTGTTCGGGGTTGCCCGTGGCCCTGGAGCCTGGATGAGCCATACAGTCGTTTGCATTGGAGCAGACTGCTGAGCACCAGGGAGACTCAGAGGACAGCTCCTGTCCTGTCCTCCACCCGCAAGATGGTATCTGGTACCGACGTGGTCCGGAGGTGGTGGAGCAGCCCCCAGGCTCACACACACAAGTACACACAGTGAGCTACGCGGGCGCTTGCTTTGGGACAGACATTTGTACCTTTCCTTTAGGTCTGGCCTACAGGCCGCGGACCAAGCAGATGCGTCTGCTGCTGCGTCCATGAGAGTGCTAAGTCCCACCAGAAAGTTATAAGACAAAAGATGGAGTGTAATGGCAGTCTAGAACAGAGTCCCTTCGCCAGCTCATGCACGCATGCCATCTTAAAAGCGGGAGCTGCTTGCTTTCAAGCTAGAAGCTTCGACCTAAAAAATAAGTCTTAATATTGTCAATAATGTTCCCAACATCAGGCACAAAGAACTTACTACATAATGTCACAGACGTCTCCAGGGCGCCTGAGGTCGCAGTGGCCCTGCTCGTGAGTTGACCCACAACAGGGGCCGTTCAAGCCAGGCACACGCGGCCGCAGCTCCAGTCTACAGCTGAGTCCTGAAGGAACAGGTGTCCTACCTCACTCGTGCGCTCCCGCACCCCCTTCGCGGGCCTCGACTCTGCTCATGACTCCGCACACCACGGGTCACACTGCAAAAGGAAACCACCTGGGGGCTGGAGCCCAGGGTCCTCATCTGGAGCTCAGGGCCGCGGCGCAACTGGACAAGCCCGCCTTTCCAGGCGAAGTGACTGGGCTTGACTAGGTGCTCAAAGCTCACTCAGCAAAGCCTCCCCATTCTTTTAAGAGCTCTGCAGAATGAGAATTAGGCAAAGTTCTACCACAAAACTCCTAGCTGTCCTAGGCAGGGGCACACCCGAGGCCAAACAGTGGCTCTTGCTACAGAACAGGCACAGGGTCTTTGTAATGTCCCAAGAGACCCTTTGTAAAGATGACCCAAGTCTCCTGCCCTTCTTGCAGCAAAGAAGTGTGTGCACGGGTGGCTGAGAGCAGTGAAGGCAACTGTAAACTCACTCCAGAAGGTTGCTTGGAAACACGTCATTACAGGAAAAGTTCTAATTCATTTGGCCCCATAATATCAATGATAATAACTGCCAGCCAGTTCAACCTCCGAATATACAGATATAGAGCAATAGCAACTCCCAAAGAGTCCAGCAGGGAAGCGTGAGAGTTCGAGACCCCCAGTGTGCGCTCATTTCATGAACCAGCACCACGCATAACTGCTGTTCTTTGTGGAAGAAACAGAACGGAGGTGGCCGGCCTCCAAGGAAGCTTGAAATGGTGCAGGAATGAGCATGTACACTACATGGCAATGGAGACATCAAGTCAGCTGCTGAATGCACACTTAGCAAGAATGTCACTGATTCTCAGAGCGTGACCAGTGACGTATCACCACCATGTTTGGGATCTGCACGTGCCGTGCTCCTGGCTGACTTACCTGCCTTCTGTATTCTTCAACTGGGTCATAGACTGTCCATCCATCCACGTTAAACTTTTCTTCATTTAAAAATGCAAATATTGGCTGGAAAAGGCAAAAAAAGGAAAAAAAGAATTTCAAGCTTAGTGTGAAGGCACTAACAGTCCAGTCAAGGTACACTCCGATTCCTCACCAGATTTGCTTAGCGTAACATCACAGCCCAAACTGAGCCTTTTAACAAAGAACCAGGAAAACTCAGACTAGACTTATGCTACCTTCTACCTTGAATACGAATCACTTTTGAAACCTCAATTTTGTACAGCTACAGGCATAATTTCGCAGTTTTGGGGAAAGGATGCGCCACAAAAATCAGATTTCCAGATTAAAACACAACTATATTTTTTAAAAAGATTTATTTATTTGTGCATACAGAACTGGGGTACAGGCCAGAGGCGCAGGGACGGTGAGAGGCTTCACCAGGGAGAGTGGGGAGCAGAACAGGCAGATGGACGAAGTGCACTGCTGAGGGGAGCAGCGGGCGGGTCAGGAGAGGTCTGCCGCGCCATGTGGTCACCTCCGGGGCAGGCGGGGATCGAACTCATGCGGAAGTGGCTTCAGCTTCTGAGTGTTGTGCTTTAACCCGCTGCGCCACCAGGGAGGGCCCACAACTATGTTTTAATACTTGACAAGGCCCTCACTTGGCGGGGCAGCCGCAACCAGGTGGTCTTTAGGAAGATCAGGCCCTTCCTGTGAGGCAAACGAGCCGCAGCTCAGAACACCTGGTGGTAAACATTCAGGGATCAGCTCACACCTGCTCTATTCCTGGAGGAATTTTGCCATGTTTGAACAGGAATTTAAGTGAGCGTTTTCTCTAATTTGATTTCTGAAATTGAAAATGTTTGCTTCTTTTAAAGCCTCCATCTACCAGTTAAGGGAGCAGCAATGTCAAGTGACCTCATTTCACCTCATAGATTACACACTTTAGAAACAAGACTCCTTCCTCCAAAGAGGTCCACAGGGGTGATGCTTTCACTACAGTAGAGGAGGGAAAGTCTAAAATTTTAGAGAGCCACAGAAAGCAGTAGAATCTGGCAAAGTTCATCACTCTGAGTAACATGCTCTGAATGAGCAACTTCTGCCTATTCCACGTGCAACTGTGAGCCGTTTCAAATAACTGCATCAAAAGTACCATCGGCCAAAAACTTGACTGAGGTCTCACAGGTCGAAAGCAGCTACCACATAAATTGCCATTTAGACTTCCATTTATGTAAATAATTCCCCTAGTTTGCTTTAAACATGTTCCCTGGGGGAAACACTTTAATATCCCTGGGACGCTGTTGCTTTTATGCATAAATGTACGCATTTATTTATTCCACAAAGGCCCACAAAGTACACTGGAAAGGTCATTCGAAACCATTTGGAAAAAGAGCATTCTTTACACTCATCCACAATCAGAACCATCGGAGGCTGGCATTTCTCCAGGTCACCCACGCTACTTCCTCTCACTGTACTTCTCTCTTCTGGCAATTTCGGCTGCATTTATGAGGGTGCCAACGATCGCAGCCAGCCTACCAAGTCAATTTCTGGGCGGCCAGAGCGCGGGGGCCCCTGCAGCCGCCTGCCTCCTGCGCGGCTCCAGCTCGAGAGGCCTCAGAGATAGCTCACTGCCTCCTCCTCTCCTGGACCCCCAGCTCACCTGCCGGCCCTGCCACCTTCAGCCTGGCGTGGTGATCCAGGCTGGAGTCTCCTGTCTACCATCCTATCTGTCTTCGTAACTATATGCAGTCAGCTATTGCTGCTGACCATAGCGTCCAGACCGGCCTTGAATGTCTCACCTTTCCCTCTCCATGGCCCCGTTTCAAGCCCTCATCACTATGCACTAACATAGATCTCCTGAAATGGAACCCTGACCCCTGTCGCCCAAGTCACCTGGTGGACCAGAGTCTGTTCTTGTCCCCTTCCTGCTGAACCCCCATTAAAGGAGCCCCTCACTGTCAGACAAAAAGCAACGCTTCGCTGTTCGCTGTTCGGGCACGGAGGCGCTGCGCGTTGAGGCCCCGCCTTCCCTCTCAGCATCTCTCTGCTACTACCGCCTCAGTCCTCGCCCACTTTCCTCAAGTGCACGACCCGCTCCTTCCACTCCAGCACAGACTGCTCCCGCTTGTCAAGAGCATGTGTGCCCAGGGAAACACACCTACCATCTTGTAGGCTGTGTCTCCTCTGGGAAGCCTTCCTGGACTTAACACCCTCACTTTTTGTTCTCCGGGCATCCTGACTGGCACATCTGTGTCGTATGCACCCGTGCATCCCAATCCTCCAGGCAAACTGCTCCTGGAGGCTGAGGCTGGGGTAACTCTAGAGCAGAGCCTGGCCAGAACGGGGCCCGTAACAAGGCACTCTAGACTGCGGGCTTCAACGGCAAATGTTTATGCCTCACAGCATGGGAACTGCAAGTCCAAGGTCAGGGAGGCAGTACGCTGGGCTTCTGCATGAGCTGTTCCTGGGTCCTCACATAAGAGGGGGAGCTCTGGCCCCTTCATGTCTCTTCACAACACTGATCCCTCCTGGGGCTCTGCTCTCCACCCTCATCTAAAACTAATCTCCTAAAGGCCCCACCTGCAAATGCCAAAACACTGAGGGCGGCAGCTTCAACTTTAGCTACTGTGGGACACGAAGAGTCAGCCCGCACTGTGCCCTCTGCGAACAAGGCTTCACTGGAGAGAGATGCGTAGGACGGTCTTTAAAGGAGAGGGGCGGGCCTGCCTGACCACTGCCTGAGCAGAGGGGAAAATGCTGGCACCTGAGGCCTCCTCCAGACAGGTAGCCCTGCAGGGGCACGGAGAGCACCTGAACAACTTGGGAGCGACAGCACTGACAGTCCCAACAGAAGCAGACAGAAGCCAGCCCAGAGCACGTATGCTCAGCAGCCACGGCGGCAGCGTGGGAGGAGACTGGAGGAGGTGGGGCCTCGCTGGGGAGAAAGAGCTGGCTCAACAGGGGCCCAGGGCAATGTGACAGCTGGGGGGCAAGGGCGCGAGGCAGAACCATGCCCCAGGTCAATGTATGGGACAAGAAGCACGCAGAGTGGACTGGCCCGCAGACAGGACAGAACCGGGAAAGCCGTCCCCATGGCTTAGGAGGGACTGAAACCGGAAGCAGCTTCTGAGGTAAGCCAAGCAGAATCTTCGGAGTCAGGAAATGCGGGGAAAAGAGAACACTGTCAGTGGTGCCCCCGAGAAGGCCAACATGGCCCTCAAGCCCCAATAACTCTGGCGGAGCAAGATCAGCAGGAGGTGGCGCGGGAGCCGTTCTCCCAGGGTCTCACTCCTTAGGGCCAGGACACAACACAATGCCAGTCGTTGCGGATTAGGCTTCTGTTCTCATTGTGACAGCAATTCCAAAGACGTGTTTCCATAAAACTTTTTATGCTGATAGTGAAAAATTTACAAAAGAACATTTTTTAGCTTACACATTTACTCAAAAGCTGAGAAAAGGCTGAGTATGTATTCAACTCTACACTGCTCCTGCGTTTGTTTTAAACAGTACATCTAAGCCTAACATGTGACTCACGGTGACTATGGCATCGCCTTAGACCTCCACAGTCTGTATAAATTGTCCTTTCCAGCAAGCATGAATTTTCTTTGACTGGAACAGTGCTGACAGAATTTGGGGGTGAAAGAAGCCTTGTCTCGTTGGGGAAAAAATCTCAGGTCTTTATCACAAAAAGAGAGGGGGGAGAAGCAAGGAAAGAGGGCGAGGGGGGAGGGGCAGGAGAGAGCGAGAGAACCAAAGGAAGAAAAGCTACGCCGCGAGGTGCCATAGCACTCAGGACCTGGCCCGCGGCCCGTGGGCCGCACGCTGACCCTGCATGTATGACGGGGGCCGCACACACCTGTGAGTTAGCTCCTTACTCGCCCGACAGGTATTTGCTTTGAGTTACGCTGAGGAGAGGGGCAAGCAGAGGTGAACAAGACCAAGGCAGGAAGAAGGAAGACTGCTCACAGCAAGAGGCAGGGCACTTACTGCAGGCACCTGCCTCAGATGGGGGAGGAAGGTTGCTCTGCACATCCCGCTCATGGTGTGGACTAGGTGGGCGCTCATGGTCAACGACATGACTGGCTCAAATGCGAGTCTGCCCTCCTCAGCTACCAGGGCGCAGCTCCCACGCCTGCAGGGCAGAACTGAGTTTGCGGAGGTAGTCAGCTCGGATGACTGCTTGCACTTCCAAAAGGCATTTCGTAAACTCCCTCAGTAGCTCCTCAGTGGACAGTAGCCAACTGTGGGATGTGACCTCCCATGGCCCCCTCTCAAATGAGGACAGGCTGAGCCTGGGGCACGCTCGGCGCTGGAGGGTTATGCACATGTGGGCCACTCCCACGGAAGGTTCTAGCTTTGCTAGACAACCTGGAAGACATGTCTCCTGGAAAGCTCAGCACAGGGGCAAGGAAGGGAGAGCCACCCAGGACCTGCCAGGAGAGGAGGATCCTGGAATTTACCAGACTGTGGGCCAGGGGAAAGGCGTATTTGGTGAGGATCTCGAACATGTCCCTTCTGCTGTGGCCTTCCTGCTTCAACGCGAACCTCAAGTTCCTCATGTCCTGGAGGGCAGAGAGAAATGGGACATTGAGTCTTCAAATAAAGTCATTCTCATTAGCAAAAGATCCTTCTGTTCACCTCAGGGTGCTTGAGTCACTCACCTGAGAGGACAGGGAGCCTAGATTACAGAGAACATGACCTTGCTTTGTGTGATGTCTCCAGACACCCAGCTTGGCACCCTCGCAGTCAGGGGTAAGGGTGAAGTGACACGCTAGAGAAGACAGAGTCAGGCTCCCATCCTGTACCTCATCCACTCTACCTCAATGGTTTTCTGAGATCACTTGCATTCTTAAGCAGTGTTTATTCACAGAGCTTTCCAAATGTGTATCTGCTATCAAACAGTCTCAGAACCAGGCAAACGTGTCCCACAGTACAGACACTCCCCCTCATGCTTTTCCTTTAAACTCGGTTTCAGAAAATCTGCAAATGATTGACATGCTAAGCTCTCAAACAAGTAATGTCATGTATTTTTATTATGCAATTTCACTTTCAGGGCATTCCATACAAACCACATTAAAGCCCTCTGTGCCAGTAATGCCAATGCTTCCAGGAACGTGATGCTCAAAACCAAATTACAAAGGCACCTTCCAAGAGGTGTCTCTGCAATAAGCAGGAAAACCCTTTAGACTGAAACCAGGCAAAACAGGCTCCTAACTTAAATACCAATTTGTATCACATAACAAAATGAATAGCATCCTTTTATTTTCGGAGCTAGAGTTTTTTGGGGTGCCTCCAGTTAATCAAGGCCAACCAGCAGAGCCTCTGTGCAGGAGACGGTCAGGCCCTCACTCTTGGGGGTCACTATCTTCCTATTTTTCATAGTGCTTTTTTATTTCTCTGGAGAGCTCTCTTCATGCATCTTAAATCTTCAGTATGAAGGTCTGGCAGAGGCCTTGCCAGCCACAAGTCACCCCAGAGTGAGGGCAGCAATGAAGGAAGAGCAAAGAAGAGTCTCGGGCTTCCAGTGAACGCCCCAAATTGGCCACTGCATGTCCAGACAGCAGCCTCGGAACCTTGTGATCTTTGGGCCTGGGTGTTCACGTGAAAAGCTAAAACCCAAAACCCAGTTTCCACCGGGATTCTGGCTGCTGGGTCACGATGCCAAGCGCCAGTCAAGAGGAGTAGTCATTTCGATGATTTGAGAGTTTGCGGTTGGTACACGGAGCCTGGGAGCTGACAGACCAGCGAGGGACCCCCTCCCTACGGACCTGGGCTCACATGACGACTGACTAGCAGCTTTCTCTGACCACTGTGCTGGAAATTGGACTATTTCTAGATAAATATTTATTTTGCTCCAGCCAGGACTCATGCAATGTGCCAGAGCACTGGGCTTCAGGGAACTTCGTTTCACTGTTTAATCCCGATGTAAAACTGCCCCATCTCGCCAACAAGCACGTCAATGTGGAAGCAGTGACCGCAGCTGGCACCAACTGCACAGCCCCTGGAGCCCGAGTCTGACCTGCAGGGACAGACGTGCAGGGCGCAGGTGCCTCGAGCCAGACCCTCAACCTACTGGGTCCCGTGTGAAGAGAGAGCCCGGGGCTGGCACAGGTGATGAGGTCCCTCCAACCCCCACGAACCCTGCACTAGATCGCGGTTCGCAGGACCCCAGATGTGTTTCAGTCCAACAACCTTCCGAGCCTTCAGAGGCGAGCGTACAGTTGGATTTGGGGTAGGACCCAAAGGTCTACATTTTTTAAAAAGCCTTCCCAGGTGTGTAGGACTGAGAAACACTGAGAGAGAGGACCTCCAGGTCCTTCGGGCTCTTTCTGGGGCTGGACATTACTCTACAGTCTTTGCTTTTTTTAAACCCACGTTAATGTTCTCCTCATTCAACACGAATGTGCCCTTTTCTATGTGTACGGAAGTACTGAGCCTCTTACTTTGCAGGCAATGTCTAGGCCATAGGAATTCTCTCCTCTGCTTGTCGCGCCTCCCATTTTTTCAATTCTTGAGATCACACCCAGTGGAACATCAAGTATCAGAGTAGAATCCTGTAATGGACAAAAAAAACAAAAGTCAGTGCTTCTGTCAGTTGAATTTAAACACCAAAACCATATAAAAGCCTCGTCTGCGTCTATGCATTTACCATGCTCCTTTTATTGGTTTCTGAACAAAAATAAGCACACCACACACAAACGCGAGCTTCAGAGCAGTCAACTGCGCAACCCCAGTGCACCCCAGCCGCTTTGCTCTGCCTACCAAGTGAGGCGAGCCCCAGTCCGCCCTGCGCTAAGCTCCCGCGAATGCCTTCCACCATTCTCCAAACACTGCGTCTCCATCAGGCCTATGTGCTTTGTGTGTGTGTGTGTGTGGGGGTCCCCTTTGTCTAAGATGAGATCGTTCCCAACTTCTGACAGTCCCCTTGTTGAGCTTAGCAGCTCCAAAGAAGTTTGCTTCCCAGCGAGCTCAGACAGGGCGGGTCGCTGACTTCCTGCTCAGGAACTCTGTGCTAGGCTCAGACTGCAGTTACAGCCTTTCTGCCACTGTCCTGTGGCCACTGTCTGAGACAGCGCCACAAGAGGGGAGGCCCCGTGTTCGCGATCCACTTAACTCTGGGCACAGCTGAGCGGCAGGCGGGCTCTGACACACAGAGGGAGACGCACGGGACAGGAGCAGGCACCTGGGGGGCTTGGAGAGGCTCGTGCAGCAGGCACAGAGAGGAGAGGCCCGTGGGGAGGCCGACAGTGGCAGCCTTTACCCTGCTTTGTACTCTGATTTTGATCTTTTCCTTCCAGACCTGCCTGGTCCATTCTACCCCTCTCCTATGGATTCTGCCAGAAGGCACCTTAGCTGTCGGGCGAGCTCTTAAGCCTCAGCGGCCCCACTCTGGGTCAACCCTATTTGACTGGGCATTCACCCATGAGGGTATAGGTGACTTGGGGTCTTTTACTGGGACACAACAGCCTTCCCTGACCTCCATTTCTACGCACACCAATTCCATTGAGGTTCTTTCACACCAAGTGTGCTTGCGCACATCGATGCCGGGCCCCGTAAGAGCCTGAGAATTTGGGGGTCTCAGGGCTGCCCTGTCTGCACACTAACACCATGACTTTGCACAGCTGTGCCCCCACCTGAAACCAAGCATCTGGAAGCAGTGTTACCTCGGACCCCGGAGCACTACCCAGGAGAAGGGCCTGAGCAGCACGGCTTCTCCATTGTTCTGTACCCCACACAGGGAGCCAGGGACCCAGAAGACATGGTGAAGCACGGGGTCACCGGTGAAGCAACCCCCTCTCCTGGCACCCCGGAGCAGCAGCTAGCCAGTCTGGAATGGCCCACCTGTGCCAGGTACTGCGAGAGGGGCTCTGAACATGTCACTTCACTTTAGCCCACAGCCAGGCTGTAAGTGACGGCGTCCACCTCTGCACATGGCCTCAGGGCTACAGAGAGACTGAGCACTTGCTCGCACATCCTGGAAGGGGAGATGCGAAGCGAGGCCTGGGGCACACACTGACGGCCATCAAAACGGCCTGTTTCTGGTGCTGCAGTTTCACCCCTACGAGCCAGCTGGCGTTACAGCTGTTGTTCACTAGGAGAAACAGCCATGTACTTGCAGACGTTCACTGGGGCCAGAGGTGGAACACGAGGAGGAGAAAATTCCAGTGAGTCAACTCGATGGACTAAGCATACAGCTATTCTAATATTAAATGTCAGAATAATTATGGCCCAGGAAAACTAAGTTGAAGTGGACAAAAGGGAAAAGGTGGCACACGAAGAGCACCGCCACTAGCCACCAGAGCGGACAGGTGGCGAGGACTGAGCAGGCAAGGGCGCGCCAACTGCTTACTTCACACTTTTCTTCAAACGCGATGTTGGGTGACTTCAAAAATAAAGAAAAAAATGTCAAAGATGCTCAGTGAATTCTCTGTTCATTAATAAGGTGCTTTTGGGGAATGTAAATAAAACAGTTTTATCTTAAAATGCAATACAAAACAAAGCATTTCTTTTCAAAATGCGAACACAGCCTGGGCGCCGCTGAAATTCAGGCGTGTGAGGCACACCGAGAGGGTCGTCCCGGGAACTGCGCTGAGAGGCCAAGCCTACCTCACAAGGGTACGCACCGCACGATCCATTTGCAACATTCTAGAAACGACAAGATGTAAAGACGGAGGCCAGAGAATTGGCTTCAAGGGGGTGAGGGGAAGGGGCTGGGCTAAAACGGGGTGGCGTGCGGGGTTCCTGGCAGTGACAGCTGCGTGTCTTGGCTGTTGGTGGCAGTAACAGGAATGTAATGGGGTCGACCGTCACAGACCTGGATGTGGAAACATGGAAAAACAAGCAGAGGAAAATCTGGCAAATTTCAAGTCTGGTCGGAGCCTTAGCTCACTGCTCTGGGCCAACCGATTTCCTGGTTTTGACAAGACGGGCAGTTACTACAGAAGCGCGACCTCCTTGCAGCATTTTCTGAGTTCTGGAGCCTTCATAACAATTCCAAGATAAACAGTGTGCGAGAGCGGCCACCACAGTGTAGAGAAAAGAACGCAAGTCCCAAAATGGTGCACGCTGGCTCAGACCGGCCCTGTGACACTCGTCACCTGCACGGCCTTGTAGGCCACTGCGTGTCCCAGCCACCACCATGAAGTAGGGCTGGCCAGATATCACAGGCCTTGGCACCTGGCGTGGCGCGGGTCTCAAGCGCCAGCGGCAGCCTTCATTACAGCCAGGTCCGACTCGGCCTCTGCAGACGTCACGATGCCCCCAGGCTAGCCACTCAGTGGGAACAGCAAGCACCTGCCGGGCCTTCTCTTTGTACCTTAAGGAGGTGTTTCTGAGGTGCTGCCATGGGTGGGGGTCGGGGGGAGGGACATCTCCCAATTTGACTAAAATCCAAAGCTAAGAAGAAAAAGCAACACGTGGTAGCTCCTGCGATGGTGATGCATTCACTGCTCTGTGTGGTCCAGTCGTTACAAAGGCGCCACTACATAGTCTGTTACCGCGCCCAGACGACAGTCTGTGCAACTAAATTCCTAAATGCTGGGCTTACACCTAAACATAGAGACACTGAATAGAAATTTATACTCTCCTATCAACATAGAAATAAGAATGCAAAACGAAAAAATTATGAAAAACGAGGTTCACCTGGCTGGAAAGGATCAAAGGTGCCAAGGAATTCGTCCCAAGTGCCAGCACAACCTGACCCCATCCAGAGACGCGAAGGACACAGGTGGGCACCAAGAACACAGACACTATCAGTTTTAGGTCATGATAAATGAGCCACATCCAGAGATCCAAGAGGTCACAGGAAACAGAAAAGGCCCCTGAAGCTCAAGATGTCCAGAACAAAACACAGGGTGCTTCTCTCTCCCAATGACATTTTCCTGCCTCAGTGCTCGCCCCTCTCTCTCCCCACAGACAAAAATCAGCACCCAGGACACCCCATTCTGTTATCCTTAATCTAATCTCCCAAGTCCACCTCCTTATCTCTATCTCCAACTCTTCTAGCCGTTTCTCTGCCCTCAGGACACAAAAGCCTAGGTGACCTTTTACCTGATGCCCTCAGTCCCTCAGCTTCAGCCACTTTCAAAGGCTCTTACTGCTCAGCTCTACAAACCTAAGGCCCAGGTCATCTGGCACCATCCACCTCTCCTGCTCAGCCCTCGACCTTCTCCCCCCACTGCCCGCCCAGCGTATGCTGGCCAGGATAAAGTCACTGGGGCCACAGCTGCAGAGGAGGGAAGCAAGTGACAACTGAGGAAGAAGGGATGAGGACAGAGCTGGTAGGGAGAAAAACTGAGGTGCAGTGAAGGCAAAGGCAGAAGTGGGAGAAGAGTCTCGATGCACGAAAGAAAGGACAGAGAAGGAAGGTGCCGTCACCGTGCGGGCTCCTGAGGAGCAAAGGTCAGGGGACTCGAGAGGCCACTGCCACAAGCAGTGGCAGGGGTTCCAACAGGGGACCGAAGCCCCAACGCAGGAAGTGAAGGAGTCGCTCGTCCAGAAGTGGCAGCGGCAGGCGTTCGGTTGTCAAGAAGCCTGGCAGAGTTGGGCAAGAGAGAGGAGTATCAGCGAGCAGGGATGCAGGAGGGGCTGGAACTCAGGGGCCTTGAGCAGGATGGAAGACAAGCAGTGAGGGGCCAGAGGCTGCAAAACGGAGGGCCACAGGGCTGCACTTTGGAAGAGACTGGAGCTGAGTGAGGAGGACGGGATGGGCGAGAGCCGCTGCACCACACCGCACCACAGGAGGCGGCATTGGGAGCCAGCCAGAGACCCCAAGGCACGCCAAAGCACCGTCAGAACCTTTCCTAGCTTGGGGCCACGGGATACGAATTCATTCCGTCCACTCCACTACTTTCAGCCCATGTGTTTCTGGAAGTTAAGGACCGGTGTGAGAACTATGGGTCACGGAACCCGGGGCTATCGAAGAAACTGTTGTTTTTCAGCTGCAAACAGCATCCACCTTGCCGTGGCAGCTGCTGTGGACTGGACGTTTGAGAGCCTGCAGTGTGGAGCCTCAGTGCGGTCCGCGTCACGCACACAGCGGAGGCCTCGCTGCTAGGCTCACTTTAGCATTACTTCACCTCCCAGAAAAGGGAGAGACGCCAAACACGCCAGACAGAAGGGCCCTGCGAAGGCCGGTCTTGAGCCGTCCCCAAAGTATTTTCTTGACCTGGAAGGCTTTTTGTTCTTGTTCGTGCTGGGGACAGAGGAGGAACTCCAGCCTGCTGTGCAAGGCCCACCTCGGCTCCCTTCTGGGTGCTGGGCGAGCACATCCAGGTAGGGTGACTATGGACACGAAGGCACCAGGCTGCCAGCTGCTCAGGCTCGGGCTGTGACAATGCCTTGCGCCTGGCACAGCCAAGGTATGTGAGCTGCGGGGGCTGACGGGCACAAGGGCCTCCACCCAGCTCCATTCTCCAGGTCCTGTCTCTCTACTGGTAAGTAAACCACCAAGACTTGAAGGAAACAGACCCCCTTACCCCAACCCTCACAGAGTGCCTTCCCTGAGTAAGCTGGCCATGTCTTCTCTCCGCTGGGGCCTGAAGGCTATTTCACA